GACTCCGTGAGTCCAGGCGGGCCGCGGTCCGCCCGGGAGTGGAGTCGGGGAGGCCCGGCCGGCGCTGACGCCCCATCCCGCAGACGCCCCGTGGTGCGGGCACTGCAAAGCGCTGGCGCCCGAGTACGCGAAGGCGGCGGCGAAGCTGAAGGCGGAGGGCTCGGAAATCCGGCTGGCCAAGGTGGACGCCACGGAGGAGTCGGAGCTGGCGCAGCAGTTCGGCGTACGCGGGTATCCCACCATCAAGTTCTTCAAGAACGGCGACAAAGCTGCACCCAAGGAGTACACGGGTGAGGACGGACAGGACACAGGTGAACCGGGTCTGGATGTGCCGCCAGGGTGCAGAGGGCAGCAACGTGGCGCTGGGTCCCAGCACAGGGCCCCATGCTGGAGCTGCACTGCTGTGCCTGGACAAGGTCCACTGTGACAGCGACCTGGGAATGGTGCTCGGTCCATGGGGAGTAGGCCAACCTGTTGGCCTTAATGGCCTCCTTCTGGAGAGATCCCGAAGGTCAGCTAGAGTGCAGGAAGCTGCTTTTGTGTAGGAAAGCAAAGTGACTTCAGCTTGGTTTGTTGTATGGCTAGACTTGACTCAAGTGCTGTACCCAGAACTAGAAATGTGCCTGGGCTGTTGGGTGAGGGGGCAAAAACGGGGTGTGAGAGAGCTGCAAGGAAGGCCACGACAGAATTCAGCTAAGCCAGGCCACACAGTGCTGGTAACAGAGGGTAACATCCAGAATAAAGATCCTGGAAGGAAAAGGTGCTGTAATAACATAAGTAATAGTGAGGAATTGCTGCATTGCTGGTCAAAGTTTAAGGCCGGTGCAGTAGGTGAGAGAAGAATGGATTCCTGGGAGCCCCTTGTACCTTGACTTATCAATTAGGGATTAGCTTAATTACACCATGAGTGAAAGGGAGTTGCGTAAATGATACCTTGAGTCTTGCTGATCTCTTGACCAGCTGCTGAAAGGTCTTCTCTCTCAAAGCTTGAGGTGTTTTGTGGTCTTGGACTTCCTTGGTGGGGAAAGTGACTCCTTCTTATCTCCTGTAGCTGGCAGGGAAGCAGATGACATCGTCAGCTGGCTGAAGAAGCGCACAGGCCCAGCTGCTGCCACCCTGACTGATGTGGCTGCTGCAGAGGCACTGGTGGACTCCAGTGAAGTGGTGGTGATTGGTTTCTTCAAGGTAGCGTGTTTCCACTGGAGATGTTCTTGTGTGTGTCTAGGGTCTTCTCTGCTTCCTCATGGCTGGCGAAAGCTTTGTACCTTATGCAGTACTTGCTGCCTTGCCTTACTTATCTTCCAGTTCTTTGGGCTGAGCCCTGGGATGTGAATGCTTCAGGTGATGTGGCCCCTCTGAGACATCTTTCTTTATTCTCCAGGATTTGACCTCAGAGGCAGCAAAGGAGTTCCTGC